GTTAAGTTAAATTTCTTGAAGTAGGCTAAGCCTTATATTCATAAAATGGAGAGTTCTCACCAGGTTATCACAATAGTTTCAAACCTGTCAATAGTGTATTTTTCTAACATATTTTAATGAAATTATAATCAGGCAAATGGAAATTAGCTTAGTCTGCAGGTTTGCTGCGGCAGGGGTATCTTATTACTGTTCACACAAAAATATATCTAAAATATAATTTTCATAAAACTCAGGATAAGAGTCTAGGTTGATAGGGCAATGATTATAGAATCTTAATATTATTTTTATATCCATGAATAATTTCTCTTACAATAACTAATTCCCTGTTAAATATTATTACAACATTTCAAAAATATCAGAACAGACTCAGTATGGATCATAAACATAAAACATAATCAAATGACATAACTGAAAGAATCTTATACTAATAACATTAACATAAATGGTTAGCCAGTTCCATTTGAGTAATGTTGAATAATGTTTACATTCGGGCGAGTGACATATTTTTTCTATGTTTATGATCCATCCATACCCTTTCTGTTCTAATATCCGTGCAGTATTTAATATGTTTGAACCAGCTGTGTGGAAATGTGAAATCAAAATTCATTATTGACAGTTTGTTTACATTTAAACTTTGTGAGATAGTACTTTGTTACCATGGAGACCAATCAATATTTACTTTTAAATCTCTCACCTCAGAACTTTGAAAGCCCGCGGGGCAGAGTCCTACATCAGCATTGAAGCTGGAATAGTTCTATGTAACCTCGGAGCGGTAGCTTTATTTTTATCCAATGGAGCCCAGTCGGTTCAGTTGTTTTTGAGTTTATCTCATACAACACACAGACACAAACCCACAGACGCACAGACACACAGACAGACACCACCTCTTCTTTATAATAGATAGATAGTAATCGGAGATTCGAACCCACTGAATTTAAATGGCACAGATTTATGATTATTAACGATTTTACAGCGGACATCAAAATGTTTACATCAGATTATTTCATTCTGTGTTAAATATGAATCCACAATATGCGGATAAGCGAAGGGTAGATACGACTGAAACTCAATTTGCACTTACAACTTTGAACGTTATCACCTTAATAAACAGAGCCATTAGAGTGACGTGATTCTGGTCATAAAACTATCCAATGTTGATAAACTTCAATTATGATAAGGTCTGGTAAAATATTGTAATCATAAAGAATGATATTTTTATATTTTAGAGATTTAATGTGTGTTTTAACAATAGTGGAAAGCGTATTTAATTTTTGAGTGCAGTTTCATCATAATTAAATATCGATTTCCAGCACTATTTTGATTTTACAGGGGAAAACGGTTAAAAATATTGTTTGCAGCCCGGAATCCAATAGTTAAGCATTTTTAGATGTCGATTATCTATGCTCTTGGTAACAAATTACGCACATTTATCTGCAAATGTTCACCAAACCAAATTTACTGAAATTTAAAATTAAAATAGCTATCATACAGAGGAAATTCCTTCGCTGACTGCCGTTTTCATACTTGATTGCCCCAGGCTTTCAAAGTTTTGGGTGAAACTCTAGTGAGTGCAAATTGAATTGTAAATTTAAAAAAAATTCTTAAACTATTTTTACTGGTTTTTTGTTTACTTTTTTGTTTTACATTTGGAAATTTTTTGTTTTCAAATTCTAGAAATGCTATATTTTTAAATCACTGATAAAAAATATTAATATTACTTGAAAGTAGTACAGTCTATTTACTATTGCTATCGGGGGTTTCTGGCTAAGGAAGGGGCGTATAGTATTGGCTCTATACATTTGTTTCGAAGAAGAACGAACTGCAAGACAAATGAACATTTAATACGTACTTATACTTTTGATAAAATTAAAGACCTCTCTGCTAGGCTGCGTAGTAATGCTGTATACTTTCTTTCTGAATTACAAAAAAAAACTACAATACTTAACAAGGATGAAAAATTGTTTAATGTCGTAATAGAACTCTTCCAATGTCGGAATAAACAAGCTTGATATCCGCAAACTGCACAAATATGTGGAGGAAAATTCCACCAGGGAAGCAGTGATATTGATAAGCTCCATACCGCCTCCGCACTTTAACAACTAGGTGTAACTATTACAAGTATGGAGGAGACGTAATTAGTGTGTATTAAAATAGGAATGACAGGTGATTGGTCCGTGGGTGTAGAACAGATTCTCAAGCGATGCATTTAAGTTATTAATTGTAGTCTTCCAGTTTTCATTTAAGAATAGCAGAATTTTAGAGGCTTAGCAACTCAAAATAGGTTTTGCGAAAAGTCATATTTTTCGCACTTAATCGTTTTAGCAAAGTTTACAATTGTACTCTGTAGAGTACATATTAGTATTGTATCTGGCGACTAGCTGAATTAGCAACACGACAAAGATGGTTTATAAAAATGAATTTATAAATTACTCGTATTTATCACGTGCTATTCCAACAAGGACGACCCATTTATACAGTGTAATTGGTTGGAAAAATGTTTATCCAGTTCAATAGTTTATAGGACAAATTAAAACGTGCAGTAGAATTCTAGGTCACTAGTTCGACAAGTATTTATGAGGTGACTATTAAACATTCATTATCCTTTTATTGATATACGATATTGTTTTCTCATTACATGCTTTGGAGGTTTATTTGATATTTAATAGAATAACAATATTAGTTGCGTTTGAATGTTAAGCCTTAAAAACAAATAAGTTAGATGCTTTGATAGGAAAATAACATGCATTTTATCCGTGTATAAGTATAGTGAAAAATAAACCTACACAAGCTTAAAACATTTAACATACCTATTCACATTGTATAGCCTACTAATATACATAAATGTATATTTTATTTATAATTCAATGTGAAATTGTGATCGGTAGTTAATTTTTAATCATCAAAATATGACATGTTTAATCATTTTCATTGGTCATTTTTAAAAGTTCATGTCATGCCTCAGTTGGAGTGGACAGGTTTGATACCCGCATATCAACAATGAAAATTTTTAGTTTGGATGGATTTACCAAAGGTGTTTAGTAGTACTACAAAGAATCACCTAAGTGTAATTAGAACTATGTAGGTCTAGGTCTATATTATACTTAAAAAATCTATCCAAATAGTAGGAATGAAACGAATTGCACAAAGGATATTCTTTGGCAACTTTTCTTTGATTAATAATAATCAACTTTTCACTATTTTAGTCATTTTAAAGTTTTTGGGTACAGTGCTTATATTTTATTTATTTAGTGTAACCAATAAATTGGCTATTGTTGGTACAAAATGCTGGATATTTCTGTACCCGCAAATTTACAAGGACAGAGTTATTACAATTTTTATTTCAATCGAAATTATGAACGTGTGTACATTTTACCATTGAACCTCTATAAAAAATAAGACAAACGACTGATTTTCAGACTTAAAATAAACAATAAAACAAACAATACAACCTAAAACAACTTTGCATATAACCCAAATTTTACTTTCATACAAAAATAAGAGACGAAGTTTAAAAGTTGACAAAAGGCTTGAAGTGTACAATTTAATTATGACCTCATACATCAATTTGTCTAATCAGCTGGCAGCTTGTCATCAGCTGATAAATTGACGTCGGTTGAATGATTTCGCGTCCGTAATGTCCTCGAATGATTATCAACCCTCATTATCACGACAGTGGACTTTATTAGTTTCCATGACGACGAAAAAGTGACGGTTCATCATCAAAACTGATTTCCCGCTATTTTACACTCCATTATCAGTTTGCAGTTACTTTGTTTTCACCAAAAGTTGTCTTTTGCAGATGATCCAGTGACTTCCAGAAAAACCCTTGTAAGCTGTAATTGTGAAAATTGCATCGTGATTAAGGTAACGTAACAGAATTACGCTAACATTTGCTAGTAAATAAACTAGTTTTATTACATCTCGTATATATGTTCAGTGACGATATGTTAACCAAAAGCGGTTATGTGTTTTACCTATGTTTTACACATCTATGGACTAACTGAATGTAAGCCGAGGTTTGGATGTATATTGATTTAAAAGGCGATTCAACATAAGTACATATATTTTTAAATAAAAAAAAAACTATTATCAAGTTTACAAAAAAATACGATAGTCTGTTCATTATCAGAGGTGGTCGTTGTACGCTTATCTGTGAGTACGTCATCGGTGTAGCTTATCTTCCTCCAAGTTAGGTTAGGTTAGGTTAAATAGGCTTCGCATTGGCATTACTAGCACATTCAAGCAATCTACCTGTTTATCAGATTGTAGAAAATTAGAAATACAAGGATATTCTGAAAAATAACAAATCGATCCTTATCTCCTTTCCCAGTTATTATCCCTTAAGCCAGTCGTAAAGCAAAGACAGGAAGTTGACTCATTACAGATGTAAAAATGACCGGATGTTGTTTCGACGTAAAACGTCAACGTGTGTCTTTATTTACACGATACCGTTTAAAAACTTGCCTTAAGCTGACTCTCACATCCGGAGATGGCGTGTTGAATGTGACACTTGCACGCGAGAGCTTGCAATAGTCTCGGCTTCTTTGGTAACGAAGTTGGTAGACTTCCGTATCTGTTGGCACAACAACCGAATGAAAACATTGATCGATATATTATATGGTAAGTTAGGCGACCAAACGATATATCGAATGAATTAATAGAATAATCGACAACAACCGAATGAAAACATCGATCGATATATCGATTATTCGATGTATCGTATGGTTAGTTAGGTAAGGTTAACCTAACCTAACTAACCAAACGATACACCAAATGAAACAATCAAATAATCGATATTTTCATTCGGTTGTTTGTGCCAACAGATACGGAAGTCTACCCAAAACAGTTTTAATGTAGACTGTAGAGTGATGTCTATAATTCTTAGATTTTTGACAGTTCAAAACTGGACACAACTGTCCTTCATCATTGGATTTTATTGGTCCTTGCTAAAAAAAAAAAAATACCATAATCAGTTAGCTCATATCGTAATTCAATTGTAGTATTGTATTGGAGTAGTCATTGGAGAGAGTATTGGAGAGTATTGTATTGGAGTAGTCATTGGAGAGTGTGTTGGTGAGTATTGTATTGGAGTAGTCATTGGAGAGAGTATTGGAGAGTATTGTATTGTAGTAGTCATTGGAGAGTGTGTTGGTGAGTATTGTATTGGAGTAGTCATTGGAGAGAGTATTGGAGAGTATTGTATTCTAGTAGTCATTGGAGAGTTTGTTGGAGAGTATTGTATTGGAGTAGTCATTGAAAAGAGTATTGGAGAGTATTGTATTGGAGTAGTCATTGGAGACGGTATTGTCACAGACAATATAATACTGTAATACTGGTTTCCGTAGTCTGTGGTATTGTATTGGAGTAGTCATTGGAGAGTATTGGAATGAGTATACAAACGTGTGTAGTGAGATATAGAATAAAATTACGTTCATCTGGTTTCAATAGTGCATAACATTGTATTCCTTGTTAGTTAGTTTTGGATTGTTAGGAGGAGTAAATTAAATAGGTAGGCCTACTACTTTCCCTTGAAACGTTGACCATACAAAGAAGATTATCAACCCTCATTATGACAACAGTGGGTTTATGTTGGTTAAGGTATTTTAAGCCAAGTGGATGAACGGAGATGATGAGTGGAGCGATCTTGTATTCTGGTTACTGACTAAGACTGACATGTTCCTTAGACAGGACTGTTAGTTAATAAATTGATTACCTACCTTACTTTTTAACGATTTGAAACAGTTTTTGGCCTACCCGACAATGCTCCTTCAATCTATTACATCTTCTGCTGCTTGAGTGGTGCCAAAACTGTTACAAACTATTGATGTTTTTAACCAAGTGATTTTACTGAATTATTTGACTGTAAAACAGTTTGTTTAAAACAATTATATACCGAATTTAAAAAGAGTAAAAAGGTCCATATTTATCTTTTTTCACCCTCAAGGATTGTTATACGTCAAGGATGTTGTATGATTTTAACCCATCATTGATCAATGGCGACAATTATTTTGTTCGTTGATCTTTAGGTTATATTAATTTCTTAACAGCGTTAAAATTGAATTGGTTTATTGCATAGGAATATTGTGGAGATTATCTAAAGCTTTCAACAGCCTATGTAGGCATTAATTCTGATTTATCGTTGACATCGCCTGTTTTGTATGTTTCAAGGAATTACTTTTAGTTTAGCAAAAACAAGGATCTCAACTTCAGTTCTTATGATGAATAATGAAAATATTGTGGTAAAAAGAGTTGTTACGTATTAGACATTTCAACCAAACCGTATATTGAGGGTGTGTTTTCAACCCCAAAACACACATACACATGTAATAATTATCTCGCAGGTTTTATTATTCCCACGTTACTCTACCCACGTTTTCCATAACCGTAAATCGTCCTAAAGATAGCAATCAATTCAAATTCGACGGCGACACACAAACTCTTACCTCAATAACTTACCCTACATGCAGGGAGCAAACTGGCGACAAAAATTGAAATATACACTCCACCGTATCGCCGATCTTCGGGCTGTTATTCACCGAACCAACACAAAGGAAGAAAAATCACTTGTTTCAATTCCCAGAGTTGATATATTCCCGGTAATATTCATACACGGTTTGTTAGATTTATAAGCGGCGGATCGCCCCCCACTGGCCGCTACAACCGCCGGCCGACCTCAGTATTCAATAATACTTGTCATATTTATTCTAATCCCGGCTTTCGACAGGCCAAATATTCTTTTCTTTATGTTGTTGTCATTCCCTGTTGCACGTCAGATTAGGCCGCCTGTTTGTTTATAACTAGACTCACGCCCTGCCCTGGTCTGGACGTTTTAGATTATCCCACAATATGTTAAGCGCATTATAGTGTTATGAGGACCTCAACTGACGGCGTTCTTCGGTTGAGGAGGATTTCTAGTAAACAAGTCCCACGGTTATATGTGAGGTAGGGTGGGTGACGAAGAATCTATGAACAGGCGTATGAAATATACTTGATATAAAATTAGGTCCTTAATTTTTCTAAGTTATGTGTTTTGGGTCCAGAGTGATCTCTATACTATTACAAAATTAAGATGATGACTGTTTGTTTGTGCGGCAGCCATGACTAAAATACTAAACCAATACAGCCAAAATTAAACACACCAATAGTCCACACATCTAGAAATGACATAGGCCTATTCACTTCCCTGAGTTCCTCTCGGACTACGCCCCTCAAACTTTTGAGGTGATGTTTTCAAAAATGTAGGTCATACCTTTTCGTATAAATTTGGCGGCTTTTTGTTTATAAATTCGAACTACTTAACTACTGTTTGGATTAGGCGGTATAGTCTTCCCGTTGCGATGCACGGATACAGAAGCTTTTTAAAAATAAAATTGAGACTAATAGTAATAGGTAGAAGAAAAAGGCACACAGACTAATAGGTATATTAGTAATTCATCTAAGCGTGATACTATATACGAGTATGAAATCACGTTACTTTCTCTTTGCTTAGTCAGACCACCATTAAAACATCAGATGGTAAAACGTGGTATAATTTCAGTGTCTGTAACAGTTAATACAATTTAAGTTTGATATTGACAAATTATTTTATTGTGATTCTTAAACATGATGAAAAATGTTAATGTTTTTATGAATTGAAACACTTTGAGCTAAACATATTCTTGTTTAACACTCAGTCGCGTATTATGATATTTATGTTTTATAGATTTATGTAGAGTATTCAGTTTAAAATGAACCATTCACAGTATTATTTATTAAGGAGGAAAAACAATTTTGCAAAAAATATTACAAGATATTCCTCCGAATGAAGGCACAAGTTTCGTGAACTTACTTTAACCTTACACTAAGAAACAAAATGCTATTAAATATACACAAACCACTTAAAACTTTACAAAGTTTAAAAAGCACACATTACAAAAATGATAACGCGTTCCAGTGCACGCATTACCGTAATTTGTCCAATTCCGTAACAGCCTGCAGCCCTTAGGCGAAGTTTTCCCATCAATGTATTTTCTACTTCGTAACAATGTACTGTAGAGAAGTTTAGCGATAAATTCATTTGCGTTGAGCGAGGAATGTAAACCAAAAGACTTTACGTTGAAACTTGAGAGATACCGTTCTAACCACTTGTATAATTTGTTTCTCTGACATTCTTTCAATTATATGCGTGTTTCAGACTTTCTGTCTTGACTTCAAAGAGGATTTTCTTTGTTTCGTTATCTTTGGGAGAATGAGTAGCATTTGTTATCAAATGCATTTGATGTTCATGCTTCTGCAGATATTATTTGTTTACCAAATGTGTTTTTAAAGGGCAATTTAGTTTCAACATTAGTAGCGAAATTGTTTATCACTAGTGATTTGCATTTAAAAGTATCACTATGTGTCACTGTATTTATTATTTGTTTCATACCACACCTCATATCATGTATTGTAATGACAGTAGAATATCTAATAATCATGGATAGACTTCCATGGTCGGCGGCACGTTTCGGCGGCTTCACACAGTTGTCACTTGCTATGAAAACTGTGCTGAAGTCAAGCCACCCTGAGGATGGTGCTCTGCATCGAGGCCGAAACTTCGGTGGAGCAATTTTGCGTTGTTTTTGACACGGTCACACGTCGACCCTAGATATCCTCGAAACTGTACAAAATCTACTTAATTCTACCATAAAACATTCATATAGTTATTTAACATCAGTTTATGAGAGGACAAATATCAATCAACTAGGATAAACAGTTCTGATTAATAATAGTAGTGTTGTCGGTACACGAACCAACGACATCGGTGCTTATGTTGCTCACAGTAAGCACTGCCGATTGAGGAACAGACTCGCTAATGCCACTATTTTATGCCAGTCAGTAGTATAACCTAAACCAAAGGGAATAAAACCTTTATTTAGCACACTACTGTGATTTTCAACACATTTCCATTCCTGAAAAGTCCTAAATCCGCAACTCAGTACTTCTACTTAAATTATCATAGTAACTAACTCATTCTCTGCTTACACCAACTATAGACCTGAACTACGATTCCGTGTTACCCAACTCATAACCATATTCAAATCACCTGAGCACCGCTCGCTGATTAACAAACTATAAAAACCTACTTTGTAATGCTATCTCTTATCTGTTGATAAACAGCCTGCGATCCCTCAAAGACAGGACACTATTACCGCAGGCGATATGCATCCAGCCGATCTGCTTATGTGGCTGTACGCGGTAATACGGTAATGCCGCATAATAAATCGATTAGTGAGAGTCTGGCGGACTATTTGTCCGTCTTAAGCAGCCATTGTGTGGACTGTCAGATGGATTACTTGCTTCCTAGACTCCACGGCCGGGAGATTAGAGATTAGGCGGAAGGAATTTCTCGTTTTGTTAGTACTTAGTGTGGGCGTGGGGGAAATTAAAAATGCCTCGGAAGTTAGGCCTACAGGTATGAAGCGTGGGACCTCTATTCTGGCGGACCGGGTTCGAATCCTACTGATCATAAATTTATTTTGGTTAGGGATTATTCGTGTAACGTGTGGTTAAAGTCCCACCATAAGCTGATCGTGACTGCTTTACTAGAAAAAATGAATACTTTTATACCTAAATATAATGCTATATTAATTCAGCATGATATTATTTCTAGTTATGTACGAAAAACAACTGATTCAATTACCACATCCACACGTTCAAGAATTTCAAACGCCTAATGCATTTTTACTTTTTTTCTTCATCATCCAATGGGCGTAGAGACACAGAAATCACTGTGATAAAATAACACATTTGTTTCTAGTTAAATTGCATTATTAATTATGGTGTTATAGTTAGAATTGTTTATTTGTGTGCTCATTATTATATTCGCGTTATGTCTATATTATATTTTGTAGTCAAAAACTTTGGAGGCTAAAAACTATATGTTAGGATTGTTCAAGCAGTAGAATGAGTTGCCAATGACTTTTTCTCAAATGGATTCTCATTATTGATTTGTAGTCAACGAAATCTAATCTATGATGACTATGTTAACGAAATCCGTTTAGCTGATGAAGAATCCACTGCCCAGATTCAACACAAGTTATTGTATTAACTGAACAAGTAACATCAACCTTTATATGTTTACCCAAACACAATTTTACACAATTATCCCCCAAAATTACTAATCACAATATAAACACTCCTGTCTTGTTAAGTTAGTGAGATAAAACCCCCCAACCACAACGAATGGTGATTGTATTTTGTTAATTGCTACTCAACTGTGGCCCAGTCCACAAACCACGCTGGTCCGGGTACGAGACTACACGAAATTCGATAGTTGTCAACGTCCTACGCGGCCTACCCGCTCGTTACT